ACTATGGGACCGGCAATGGCTTCAAAACTGTGGTACAATGTGACTGACACTGAAAGGGCTAAAGGTCTTCTTTTGCAGTATGTATTGCTTTTTACAACTGACGGCAACAGTTAGGAATAACAAGTATTACTGTTATACAGTGGACCCCCGGATAATGTAATTAATCCGTTCCAGAGAGAGTGACTTATTCCGAATCTGCCTTATTCCAAATTAATTTTCCCCCTAAGAAATAATGGAAATCCAATTAATCCGTTTCAGACACCCAAAAGTATTAAACAAAATCTTTTTTTAATGAAATATACATTTCCCTACACAGTAAACAATGAGACATGCCGAGTAAAACATTACTAAAATGACGCTTACCTTTATTGAAGACTTATTGATGATTGACGAGATGGGAGGATGAAAGTATACTATTGTTTGGAAGGAGAATCCCCTTCCATAAAGACTTCAGGTAGAAAGTCCTTTTCCAGGGTTACTTCCCTTCTTTGTGTTTTAATGCCACTAGGACCAGCTTGAGAGTCACTGGACCCCTGTCGCACAAAATATCTGTCCAGAGAGCTCTGCTTCTGGCATGTCTTTAAGATTTCCCTAAAATGGGAGACAACATTGTCATTGTAGATGTTGCCAGCACGGCCTGCAAAAGCTCTGTCAGGGTGATGTTCATCCATAAATGCTTGTGCCTTCGTCCACATTCTACAAATGTCCTTAATCACTGAAGAAGGCAACTTCCTCCATCTCTCTTCCTCCTTGTCTGAAGCAAATTCCTGAGCTGTGGTCTGTTGGTGCTGCACATGAAGGTCTTGCAGCTCTGTAGTAGTTAGCACTTCATTGTGGTCCTCCAACTCTTCCATATCCTCCAAACTCACATCCAACCCCATGAAATTCCCCAATGTCACAATAGATTCCACAACTGGCATAGGCTCCTCAGGGTCAGCCCAAAACCTTTCAAAATCCCTCTCTTGTACACATTCTGGCCACAATTTTCTCCAAGCAGAATTCAAAGTCCTGGAAGTTACTCCCTCCCAAGCCTTACCTATAAGGTTTATGCAACTGAGGATAATGAAGTGATCTTTCCAGAACTCTCTTAGGGTCAATTCAGTGTCTGAGGTCACTTTAAAGCACTTTTGAAACACTGCTTTGGTGTGCAGTTTTTTGAAATTTGAAATAACCTGCTGGTTCATGGGCTGGAGGAGAGGAGTGATATTAATTAAGGGGGCAAGAACTTTATTTTGATAAAACGAAACCCCTGCACCATTCGCTCTTCCAAGTCTGGAGGATGAGCAGGAGTATTGTCCATTAGCAGGAGACACTTGAGTTCCAATTTATTTTCCAGGAGATACTTTAACACACTGGGTCCAAACATGTCATGGAACCAATCAAGGAAAATGTCCCACATGACCCATGCCTTACTGTTTGCCTTCCACATCACACACAATTTACTCTTGACGAAACTGTTTTTCTTGAACACTCTCGGATTTTCAGAGTAATTCACCAGTAAAGGCTTCACTTTCAAATCCCCACTAGCAAAACATGAGAGTTAGCCTGTCTTTCATAGGCTTGTGTCCTGGGAGTGCCTTTTCCTCCTGAGTAATGTAAGCCCTCTTTGGCATTTCCTTCCAAGACAGGCCTGTTTTGTCACAACTGAACACTTGTTGGGGTTTTAATTTTTCAGCCTCTATGTACCCTTTGAAGTCTTGAACATACTTTTCAGCCACTTTTTTGTCAGAACTGGCAGCCTCACCATGCCTTATCACACTGCGTATGCCACTACGATACTTAAATCTCTCAAACCAGCCTTTGCTGGCCTTAAATTCACCAATATGAGCATTAGTTCCAGGCATTTTCTTTACGAGATCATCATGCAGCTGCCTTGCCTTTTCACATATATGTAATTGACTGCATAACACTATCTCCTGATAACTGTTTCTTGTTGATCCACACCAACAACGAAGTCTCCATATCTTTGAGTATTTGCGATCTCTGTTTTGTAAGCATATTTGCACCTTTCGCAACAACAGCTTCCTTGATTGCATTTTTCTTGGCGATGGTTGTATGGGGTTTGTTATACAACCTGGCCAGCTCAGAGACACGCACTCCACTTTTGTATTTTGCGATAATCTCTTTATTGAATTCTATAGTTTTTCCTCACCCTCTTCACCAAAGGGCTGGCACTAGAAGCTTTCTTTGGGCCCGTGGTGGCTTATTTAACAGTTACAAGCATTAAAAACAATGGAATAATACAAAATGTATCACATGAATGCGTGGGAGCGTCTCACTGGCTGGTAAACAATGGCACACTGGCTGTACATGGAGTGTTCGGGCAGCTCAGGCCATGCGGACACGTTTGGGACGAATTACTCATACCGAGTTCAGTGTCATTCACTAAGCCAATATTTTGATGCAAAAACGTTACTTATTCCGAATATTACTTATTCCGATGATGTCTTAATCCGGGGGTCCACTGTACTACTTAACTGAACACTACTCTGAGTATACCTAGTGAGGAATAACAAGTATTGCTGCAATACTACTTACCTGGGCACTATTCTTGGTATACAGTGGACCCCCGCATACCGTTGGCATCAATAACGATTAATCCGCATACTGCTTGCTTTAATCGCAAAAATTTTGCCTCGCATACCGCTTAAAAACCCGCTCACCGATGTTCGTCCGAGACGCGTCCAATGTGCGCCCTCAGCCAGCCTCACATGTGCCGCTGGTGGCATTGTTTACCAGCCAGCCTCCGCGGTAACATCCAAGCATACAATCGGAATATTTCGTATTATTACAGTGTTTTCGGTGCTTTTTCTGGAAAATAAGTGACCATGGGCCCCAAGAAAGCTTCTAGTGCCAACCCTACAGCAATAAGGGTGAGAATTCCAATAGAGATGAAGAAAGAGATCATTGATAAGTATGAAAGTGGAGTGCGTATCGCCGACCTGGCCAGGTTGTACAAGAAACCCCAATCAACCATCGCTACTATTGTGGGCACCAGAAAGGCAATCAAGGAAGCTGTTCTTGCCAAAGGTTTAACTGTGTTTTCGAAACAAAGATCGCAAGTGATGGAAGATGTTGAGAGACTCTTATTGGTGTGGATAAATGAAAAACAGCTAGCAGGAGATAGCGTCTCTCAAGCGATCATAAGCGAAAAGGCTAGGAAGTTGCATGAGGATTTAATTAAAAAAATGCCTGCAACTAGTGGTGATGTGAGTGAATTTAAGGCCAGCAAAGGTTGGTTTGAGAGATTTAAGAAGCGTAGTGGCATACATAGTGTGATAAGGCATGGTGAGGCTGCCAGTTCGGACCACAAAGCGGCTGAAAAATATGTGCATGAATTCAAGGAGTACATAGAGGCTGAAGGACTGAAACCTGAACAAGTGTTTAATTGTGATGAAACAGGCCTCTTTTGGAAGAAAATGCCAAGCAGGACCTACATTACTCAGGAGGAAAAGGCACTCCCAGGACATAAGCCTATGAAAGACAGGCTTACTTTGTTGATGTGTTCCAATGCTAGTGGTGATTGCAAAGTGAAGCCTTTATTAGTGTATCACTCTGAAACTCCCAGAGCGTTCAGGCAAAAGAATGTCCTCAAGGAGAATTTGTGTGTGCTGTGGAGGGCAAACAGTAAGGCATGGGTCACTAGGGACTTTTTCTATGACTGGTGACACCATGCATTTGCCCCCAATGTGAAAGATTACCTAACTGAAAAGAAATTAGAACTTAAGTGCCTCCTGGTGTTAGACAATGCCCCTGGTCATCCTACAGACGTGGCAGAACGACTTTATGGGGACATGAAATTCATTAACATCAAGTTTTTGCCTCCTAATACCACTTCTCTCCTGCAGCCCATGGACCAGCAGGTTATTGCAAACTTCAAAAAACTGTACACAAAAGCTCTGTTTGAAAGGTGCTTTGTAGTGACCTCAGAAACTCAACTGACTCTAAGAGAGTTTTGGAGAGAGCACTTTAATATCCTCAATTGTGTAAACCTTATAGGTAAGGCTTGGGAGGGAGTGACTAAGAAGACCTTGAACTCTGCTTGGAAGAAACTGTGGCCAGAATGTGTAGACAAAAGGGATTTTGAAGGGTTTGAGGCTAACCCTGAGAGGATTATGCCAGTTGAGGAATCCATTGTGGCATTGGGAAAGTCCTTGGGGTTGGAGATTAGTGGGGAGGATGTGGAAGAGTTGGTGGAGGAGGACAATGAAGAACTAACCACTGATGAGCTGATAGATCAACTTCAACAGCAAGAGGCCAGACCTGAGGAAACTGGTTCAGAGGAGGGGAGAGAGAAATTGAAGAAGTTGCTTACTACAAAGATTAAGGAAATCTGTGCAATGTGGCTGAAAGTGCAAACCTTTATGGATGAGAATACACCTCACACAGCTATTGCAAGCCGTGTTGGCAACCTGTACACTGACAATGTTGTGAAACACTTTAGGGAAGTCATAAAGGAACGAGAGGTACAGGCCACTATGGACAGATATGTTGTGCGACAGAAGTCCAGTGACTCTGAAGCTGGTCCTAGTGGCATTAAAAGAAGAAGGGAAGTAACCCCAGAAAAGGACTCGACACCTCAAGTCTTAATGGAAGGGGATTCCCCTTCTAAACACTAACACTCTCTCTCCCCTCCTCCCATCCCATCAATCATCACCAGATCTTCAATAAAAGTAAGTGTCATGTAATTGTGCATGCCTTTTTCAGTTTGTGTGTATTAAAATTAACATTTCATGTGGTAAAAATTTTTTTTTTTCATACTTTTGGGTGTCTTGCACGGATTAATTTGATTTCCATTATTTCTTATGGGAAAAATTCATTCGCATACCGATTATTTCGCATACCAATGACCCCTCTTGCACGGATTAAAATCGGTATGCGGGGGTCCACTGTACTTAGTTAGGAATAACAAGTATTACTGATATACAGTACTACTTATCTGGGCACTATTCTAGGTATACCCGGTGAGGAATAACAAGTAGTGCAGCTATACTACTTACCTGGGCACTATTCTTCAAGCTCAGAGTAAGGTCCTTCATAACATTTTGATCCACTTCCGGCTCTTCCGTGGAATTCTCCAAACTTTTCTTTTCAGCTATCTGCCGTATTCTTTTCTGTTCCAGTTAAAAGTGAAAGTATTACCACACTGGGTATGTGTAAAGTAACTAACTACAAAATCTTAACAGCTACAGTAGATTTTGTATAAACTTCTCAAATTTCCATATGCCTTACTCATCATTGTGTATAAATACTTCCAACAAGGTTCATTTACTATGCTAAAGTTCAAACATTAAAAAAAAATAATTTCACTATATAGTACCTCTAAAGAAAAGGCACAGTTGATGGCAACAGTGGTGGACATGGCAACTCAACTTTATCTAGATACTACTCCAGTGGTGTAGCTATTTTCCACATAAATATAAAAATAGGATGCTACATATCTGGGCATAAGAAGAGAAATCAGTGTGAGTGCTGAGTACCCTAATTCAGCTAGGTATAGTAAAGCAGAATAAATCTCTAAGAAGCTATAAGCCCTCATATATTTACCTAAACTATGAAAAGTTAACATATTCAGATAGAGTAACATTTGCGGTGATCATATTTAACCCATAAATGGTCCAAACATATACATATATAAGTTCACTACCCCAGTGTCCTGAATATTTTGAAAAGTAAAAGAAATAATTTTTTAATGAAAATAAAGAGCACATTTTTCTAAGTGTTACAGGATTAAAATAAAAAAATTAGGGTCAGCACTTACTGAGATATGAGGCTGCAAAGTAGGCACTAAATGCTCACCTGGCGGCAACATCGAGTCCTGCCACTTGCACGTGTTGCCGATATACCATTTTTTCTCATTTTTATATTATTTTATATAATTTTTATGTTCTGATAATTACAATTTATTGTAGTTCTTGTCATTTCACAACCAATCTTTGTTCTGATACAAAGTATTTATAGGTCCCAGCAATGTTTTGGATACATGGAAGAATACCAGGAGGAGGAGGAGGAGGAGGAGGAGGGAGGATGAGGAGGAGGGAGGAGCAGGAGGAGGAGGGAGGACAAGGAGGAGGGAGGACGAGGAGGAGGGAGGATGAGGAGGAGGGAGGACGAGGAGGAGGGAGGACGAGGAGGAGGGGGAGGAGGAGGGGGAGGACGGAGGAGGAGGGGGTCGAGGAGGAGCACGAGGACGAGGGAGGAGGTGAGGACGAGGAGGAGGGAGAACGGACGAGGAGGAGGACGAGGGAGGGAGGACGAGGGACGAGGGAGCACGAGGACGAGGTTGAGCACGAGGGAGGCGAGGACGAGGGAGGACGAGGGAGGACGAGGGAGGACGGAGGACGAGGGAGAGGAGGACGAGGGAAGGAAGAGGACGAGACGAGGGAAGGAGGACGAGGGGGGAGGAAAGGAAGAGGAGGAGGAGGGAGGAGGAGGAGGAGGAGGAGGAGGAAGAGGAGGAGGAGGGTCTCGACGAGGAGGACGAGGAGGAGGGAGGAAGGGAGGAGGAGGGAGGAGGAGGAGGGTGGAGGTGGAGGGAGGAGGAGAAGGAGGGAGGAGGAGGAGGGAGGAGGATGAAGAGGAGGGAGGACGAGGAGGGAGGACGAGGAGGCAGGGACGAGGAGGAAGGAAGGACGATGAGGAGTGAGGACGAGGAGGGAGAGGAGGAAGAGGAAAAAGTAGGAGGAAGGAGGGGAGACGTGGAGGAGGGGTAGGAGGAGGAAGGAGGAGGAGGAGAAGGAGGAGGAGGAGGAAGGAGGAGGAGGAGGAAGGAGGAGTGGCAGGGAGGGAGGAGGAGGAAAGTGGAGGAGGAGGAGGGGAGGAAGGAGGAGGAAAAAGGAGGAGGAGGAGAGAAAGGAGGAGGAGGAAGAGGAAGGAGGAGGAGGAAGAGGAAGGAGGAGGAGAGGAGGCAGGAGGAGGAGGAAGGAGGAGGAGGAGGAGGGGGGTGGAAGGAGGAGAGAGGGAGGAGGAGGAGGAAGGAAGGAGGGAGGAGCGAGGGAGGAGGGAGGAGGGAGGAGGAGGAGGAGGAGGAGGAGGGAGGAGGAGGGAGGAGGAGGGGAGGAGGAGGGAGGAGGGAGGAGAAGGAGGGAGGAGAGGAGGGAGGAGGAGGAGGAGGAGGAGGAGAAGGAAAAAGGAAGAGGAGGAGGGAGGAGGAGGAAGGGAGGAGGAGGATGAGGAGGAGAGAGGGAGGAGGAGGAAGAAGGAGGAGGAAGGAGAAGGAGGAGGAGGGAGGAGAAGGAGGGAGGAGGAGGAGGGGGAGGAGGAGGGAGTGAAAAAGGAGGGGGAGAAGAGGGAGGAGAAGGAGGGGAGGAGAAAGGAGGTAGGAGGAGGACGAGAGGAGGAGGCGGAGGAGAAGGAGAGGAGGAGGGAGGAGGAGGAGGAGGAGGAGGAGGAGGAGGAGGAGGAGGAGGGGGAGGAGGCAGCGAGGGAGGAGGGAGGAGGAGGGGAGGGGAGGAGGATGGAGCAAGAAAAGAAAATGGGAGGGGGAGAGGGAGGAGGAGAAGGAGGAAGGGAGGAAGAGGAGGAGCAGAAGCAGGGAGGAGGAGGAGCAGGAGGAGGAGGAGGGGAGGAAGGACGAGGAGGAGGAGGACGAGGAGGAAGAAGGAGGAGGGAGGACGAGGAGAAAGGAGGGGGAGAGAGGAGGAGGAGGAGGAGGAAGGAAGGAGGAGGAGGAGGAGGAGGAGGAGGAGGAGGAGTTGGAGGAGGAGGAGGGAGGAAAAGGGAGGAGGAGCGATGGGTAAAGGAGGAGGAAGGAGAAGGGGGAGGAGAAGGAGGGAGACGAGGAGGGAGGAAGGGGGAGGAGGAAAGAGGAGGAGGCAGGAGGAGGGGAGGCGAGGAGGAGGGAGGGACGACGAGGAAGGAGGAGGAGGGGACGACGAGGGGGGAGGAGGGAGGAGGAGGGGAGGAACGACGAGGAAGGAGGAGGAGGAGGAGGAGGGAGGACGACGAGGGAGGAGGAGGAGAGAGGACGAGGAGGAGGAGGAGGAGGGAGGACGAAGGAGGGAAGGAGGAGGAGGAGGGAGGGAAAAAGGAGGGGAGGATGAGGAGGAAGGGGGATGAGAGGAAGGAGGAGGAGGGAGGAGAAGGAGGAGGAAAGAGGAGGAGAAGAGGAGGATAAGAAGGAGGAGGAGGAGGGTGGAGGAGTGAAGGAGGAGGAGGAGGGGAAGAGGAGTAGGGAGGACGATGTAAGGAGGGACGAGGGGGAGGGAGACGAGGGAGGACGAGGCGAGGGAAGGACGAGACGAGGGAGGCGAGGACGGGGAGGACTGCTGGACGAGGGAGGACGAGGACGTGGGAGGGCGAGGACGAGGCGAGGACGGAGGACGAGGGAGGATGACGCGAGGACGAGGACGAGGAGGAGGAGGAGGGAGGAGGAGAGGGAGGAGGAGGAGGAGGAGGGAGAGGAGGAGGGAGAGGAGGAGGAGGAGGAGGAGCAGGGTGGAGGAGCAGGGAGAAGGAGCAGGAGGGGAGGGAGGAGGGAGGAGGGAGGAGGGGGGTCGAGGAGGAGGGGGGACGAGGGGAGGGGGGACGAGGAGGGGGGACGGGAGGGGGACCGAGGAGGAGGGGGGACGAGGGGAGGGGGGACGAGGAGGAGGGGGACGAGGAGGGGGGGGGGGGACCGAGGAGGGGGGGGGAACGAGGAGGGGGGGCGAGGAAGGGGAGGATGAGGAGGGAGGGAGGAGGAGGTGGAAGGAGGAGGAAGGAGGAGGAGGAAGGAGGAGGAGGAGGAAGGAGAAGGAGGGTTGATGAGGAGGGAGAGGAGGAATGAGGAGGAGGAGAGGAAGGAGGAGGAAGGAGGAGGAAGAGGAGGAAGGAGGAGGAAGGAGGAGGAGGGGGAGGAAGAGTAGGAAGGAGGAGGGAGGAGACGGTTGGAGGGAGGGAGGACGAGGAGGAGGAGGGAGGAGGAGGAGGGAGGAGGAGGAGGAGGGGAGGATGAGGAGGTGGAGGATGAGGAGGAGGAGACAAGGAGGAAGGGAGGAGGAGGGAGGACAAGGAGGAAGGGAGGAGGAGGGAGAAGGAGGAAGGAGGAGGAGGAGGAGGAGGAGGAGGAGAAGGAGGGAGGGGGAGGAGGAGGAGGAGGAGGAAGGGGAGAAGGAGGATAGGAACGATGAGAAGGAGTAGGACGAGGAGGGAGGAGGGAGGAGAAGGAGAGGTAGAAGGAGGAGGAAAGGGGGGAGGAAGGAGGGAGGAGGAGGAGGAGAGGAGGAGGAGAGCGAGGAGGAGGAGGACGAGGAGGAGGAGAGGAGGAGGAGGGAGAGGAGGAAGGAGGCGGAAGGAGGAGAAGGAAGGAGGAAGGCTAATGGACGGGAGGACGACGGAGGAGGAGGGAGGAGGAGGAGGAGGGAGAGGAGGAGGCGGAGGAGGGGAGGTGGAGGAGGGGTGGAGGAGGAGGGGGAGGAGGAGGAGGAGGAGGAGGAGGGAGGAGGAGGAGAGGGGAGGGAGGAGGGAGGAGGAAGGGAGGTGGAGGAGGGTGGAGGAGGGACGGGGAGGGAGGAGGGAGGGAGGGAGGAGGAGGGAGGGTAACGGAGGGACGGGAAGAGGGAGGGAGGGAGGGAAGGAGGGAGGGAGGGAGGGAGGAGGGAGGAGGAAGAGGAGGTGGAGGAGGAGGAAAAAGAAGGAAGTTCCCTTGAAGCAATGTAAGACAAGTGTTCAGTGACAAGCATCTGGTAGGACACTGGTAAGATGAGATATGAGATGACATTTGATGGGCGCAAGCGAGGGTGCAGAGATACGGGATGACATATGATGAGCTTGTATCTCTGATTATCTGTCTCTCTGTCTTATCTCTCTGTCTGCTTGTCTCTTTCCGTCTCTCTGCTTGCCTCTGTGTCTGTCTCAGAGAGAGCCACTGTAAACCAACAGGTATTCTTATGCATTATGTCTACAAGCACAGTACAGTGGACCCCCGCATACCGTTGGCATCACATACCGTTTATTCCGCAATACTGACTCACTTTAATCTGCAAAAATTTTGCCTGCATCCGCTTCAAAACCCGGGCTCACCGCTGTTCGTCGAGACGCGTCCAATGGCGCCTTAGCCAGCCTCACATGTTCCGCCGGTGGCATTGTTTACCAGCCAGCCTCCGCGGTAGCATCCAAGCATACAATCGCAACATTTCGTATTATTACAGGGTTTTTGGTGATTTTATTGGAAAATAAGTGACCATGGGCCCCAAGAAAGCTTCTAGTGCCAACCCTACAGCAATAAGTTGAGGAATTATATTAGAGATGGAAGAAAATAGATAATTGATAAGTATTGAAAGTGGAGTGTGTCTCTGAGCTGGCAGGTTGTATAATGAACCACAATCAACCATCGCTTACTATTGGTGAGTACAGCTGCTGCTGCTGCTGCACTGTCCAGCTGCTGACTTGCTGCTGCTGCGTGTAGATCGTTGTGTGCTGTAGCTCGTTCTGCTGATGATGTAGCATCGTCTGCTGCTGCTGTACGCACTGTCAGCGGCTGCTGCCTGCTGTAGCATAGTCTGCTGTGCTGTATCATCGGTCTGGCTGCTGCTGTTAGCATCGTATGCTGCCTGCTGCTGTTGTGCATCGATCTGCTTCTGCTGTAGCATCGTCTAGCTGGTGCTGTGCACTGGTGTTGGTGTGGCTTATTGAGAATATACATAGCAAAACAATTAACCCAGAGGATTTGCCACCCAGGGATAACCCAAATGTCTGTGTCATCGAAGACTGTCTAAACTTATTTCCATTTTGGGTCCTTAATCTTGTCTCCAAGGATGCAACCACACCAGTCGACAAAACACCAGGTGAAACAGGGGAAAATGCCTCGGGGAACTAGTGCTCATATTGGTGAATTTAAAGACAGAGAGGTTGGGTTTGAGAGATTTAAGAATTCGTAGTGACATACACAGTGTGATAAGGCCTGTTTTGGAAGAAAATGCCAACAGGACCTAGAGTACTCAGGAGGAAAAACGCAACTCCCAGACACAGGTCTCATCAGTCATTGCTGCATCTTCAATAAAGGTAGGTCATTTATTCTTCATTAGTAGACTAGTTACATGCACAATATATACTGTGCAATGTACTACTCTTACTATGTGCAATGTATCCTTCTCTTTGTGTTGTAGGAAAATGTATATTCATTGTGGTTAAAATTTTTTTTCATACTTTTGGGTGTTTTTCACAGATATTTGATGTCCATTATGTCTTATGGGGAAAATTCATTTCGCCATTACCGATTATTTCGCATACAATGAGCCTCTTGCACGGATTTAAACTCGGTATGGGCGGGGGTCCACAGTATTGCAATTCAGATTTTTAGTTATCCTAGGTTTAATTTACACTATGTATAACTGTATTTGCGTGTACCTGTGAGACAGAGACAGTAGACGACAAGACATTAGACAGACAGAACAGACAAGACACAAATGGACAGACCCTAAACTTGGGTTAACATCATTTCCTCTTATAAGAGGAGTGTTTAATATGACATACATCAGTGAATCCTTTGGTGTTTTCTTCTGCACTGTTTGCTCTAGCTGGCGCTCAATATAACTGGTCTTCCCACAGGTATAAGTGGTCCAGATTTTTTTTAATTATGGTGCCATACCGGTGTTTAAGACCCCACTCTATGCTGACCAGGTATCTCAGGCCAATATGTCAAAATTTGGAGGCAGGGAAAAATAAACGTACATATTCGTTTGGTTTTTATTCCCTTTAGGGCCACTAGCGGTAAGTACGTACTGTATATATACGTTTGGACCGTTTAGGGGCTAAACTACAGAATGCTGCATATCTTAAAATTTAGAGAAAATCTGTCTGTGAGCTGCTAGCTATGCTTGTCTGTGTAAACCATGTCTTAGTTATGCTGAGAGGAAGTCTCAGACATATTAATTAAGTAGCTCTATCCTACACCATAATTTAAATGCCTCTAAAGGACCACAAAAATATAAAATAATTTTTAAAAAATTTGGAGTTTTGCCTATAGTTTGCACTTTCACAGTTGTAGTGGCCATGCAAATAGCATGAATTCTTAAGAAGGTTTTGCTCTTTTTATTTACCACATTGGTCATCTCCCATCAAGGCTGGATGATCCAAAAACAGAAATACATTCACCAACATTCACTGAAGTACTGTCCTGACAGAAAGTGATGCTAACTCAAAACTCTGCTCATCCTCAGATTGCATGGGAATTGCCCTACCTACTTCCAGGACACAAGTCCAGCTAATTGGTTTCCTTTGAATCTTTTCACAAATGTTTTCTTTTTCACAGTGTAACAGCATGCTAAGCATTAAAACCATTTTCTCACTCTGATCTAACACACTCAAACAAGCCTGCTGGATGCTCAAGCCCCTAGCTCTCTAAACCTCCTTTATCTTCTCCTGCCAGTCAACCCTAGGATGACCTCTACCCCTCCTTCCTGTCACTCCAGTTAATACACCTTCTTTATCTTCCTATCCTGCTACATCCTCTCTAAATACCCAAATCACCTCAATAACCCTTCTTCAACCCTCTGAATTATACCTTTGGTGATGATTCACACCCATATAAGTGCTGGTACTACTATACTCCAGCACATTCTCCCTCTTCCAATTTTTTATTTGCACCACGCACCTTTTTCCCTCGTTAGATTTATGGATTCACCTCATATTACCAAAAGCCCATCATAGACACACTGAATAATTAAAGAAGTTGTACGTGGCTCACAAGTCACAATTTGCTACATTTGGTCAACAAATTTAATACGTACTTACTATCTGCTTTGTGAGGTCAGAGATGAGGGTGTGCATCTGGCTGAGGACAATGCTGTGCTCCACTCCCAGCTCTGTGGCAACTGTGTGAGTCATCTTCTCTGTATTCCAACACCACATAACACAGCCTAATAAAAATAATTATAAACTCTTGAAAAGACTGGTAAAGCTATGACAGTGAGAGAGTCAACACATTACTGAAATTTTAAGATGTGCTCTTGGGAGAATCTAAAGAGAAGTTGCAGAGGTTGGTGGATGAATTTTGTACGATACGTAAAAGAAGAAAATTAAAAGTGAATTAGGAAAGGTAAGTGATGAGGATAACAAACAGATTAGGTGATGAAAAATTGGATATCAGATTGGAGGGAGAGAGTATGGAGGAGGTGAATGTACTCAAATATTTGGGAGTGGACGTGTCAGTGGATGGGTCTATGAAAGATGAGGTGAATCATAGAATTGAGTGGAAAAGGGTGAGCAGTGCACTTAGGAGTCTGTGGAGACAAAGAACTTTGTCCTTGGAAGCAAAGGGGGAATGTTTGAAAGTATAGTTTTACCAATGCTCTTATATGGGTGTGAACCATGGGTGATGAATGTTGCAGCGAGAAGGCTGGAGGCCATGTGAGGTGTGTGGCAATGTGTGGTGTGAATTTAATGCAGAGAATTCGTTAGTTTGAAGTTAGGGGAGGGTGCGGATTGCCAAAACTGTTGTCAGAGGGTGAGGAAGGGGTTGTTGAGGTGGTATCGGACATGTAGAGAAGAGAGAATGGGTATAGGAAGAAAACAAGAATGACTTCAAGTGTATAAATCTGTAGTGGAGGGAAAGGAGGGGGTAGGGGGCGGCCTAGAAAGGGTTGCGGGTTCGTGGGGGTATATGGTGGCTTTGTGTGCAAGGGGGCTTGGACTTCTTGTCTAGCATGCGGTCCGAGCAATATTTGATAGGAGGTGAATGAGAGGCAAAATTGGTTTTGAATCTTGATGTGCTGTTAGAGTGTGAGCAAAGTAACATTATGGAGGGGATTCAGGGAAACCGGCAGGCAGACTTGAGTCCTGGAGATGGAAGTACAGTGCTGATCTCTGTTGAACAAGAGGGATTGTTTATGTTGATGTTTTTATAACTGTATAGTGGAAAAACACCCATCTCGCAAGACAGTGATGGAGTGAATGATGATGAAAGTTTTTCTTTTTCGGGGCCACCCTGCCTTGGTGGGAAATCGGCCCCGCATGCATTAATAAAAAAAACCCCCCCCCCCCCTCCCTACTCCCCCCCCCCTCCCCCCCCCCCCCCCCCTCCCCCCCCCCCCAATCAGATACACATAAAATATAAATTTAATAGGATTCAAAAAAAATATTTTTAAAAAACCTCAATTAAAGTACTTACATTTTAAAAAGTATCTATATAATGAAAAAATCAGGAAAGTGGAAGATCTAAAGTGCAGAGGAGGAAAGCCAAGCAGACAGCAAGTTCATTTGCAAACACCAAAATGGCCAGCATCCAGCAAAATTTTATATTTTTTTAATCGCATCATCATTCATACAATCACTGCCATATCATCAAAATATATGCTCATTAACCCTTTCAGTAGCCTTCATGTAGAACTGTCACTGAGACCAAGGTCCCACAAATAGTTCTACATCACAAGCTCGGCTCACTCAGATTAGTTATGAACAGTAAATTCTGGACTAAATATGAGACAACAGATCTGTGCAGTCAGGGTGCACAGTACAAAAAAAATCCTGCCCCAAGTAGTGCATGATGGGAAGAGCATGACTCCAACTTTGTGTATGGTTTAAATTAGTGACTCTGAGATGTTTTCTTAGATGGTTTTTATAGTTTTATTGGCTGTTATTTGATATCACCTAATAGACCAGAAGACATACTACTAAAACAGATATTATTTTGGTTGGTTTCAGGATAGGAAGTAGCTTGAAATTGAGCTCAACGCAGTGGATTATTATTATTATAATCAAAAAGAAGCGCTAAGCCACAAGGGCTATACAGTGCTACAGGGTAGGGAAGGAAGCGAGGGTATTGGATGGTAGAAGGGAGGAGGGATGATCAGTAGGTTACAGAAAAAGTGGGCAGGGGATAGTACGGGGGTGAGGGTTACGCAAGAGATTGAAGGAGAAAGGGACCTGTGAAGGTTCAGAATTTGTGAAGTAAGTCAGTTGTTGTCAAAAGTCAATGAGAGAGTCGGATGAATGGTGGGTCCATCAGGCGAGAAGAGAAGGTAAAGAGAGAAGCAGCAGAGCGAAGACGACGACGGAGGTAATTTCTGCGGTGCTCCGTTGATAAAGTGGGCCAGTCCAACAGATTGTGCTGACTGATAATGGAACTTGGCTATTCTCACAGAGAGGGCTGGGGGCCATCTCCTGAGATATCCATGTGTAAGACGAGTATGGCCAATGCGAAGACGGGACGGGAGAGTAGTCTCCCAACCTCGACACTGGTGATAGAAGACGGCCAGTAAACCTATACTCGGTTTAATAGATTGAAGTTTGTTTGCCGAGCATAGTAGACCAACGTTTATTGCCAACGGTGTGCAAGTTGGAGAATTGCAGCAAAATAGTTCGTAAAATGGAATACCTGCTCATGAAACCTGGTATAGGTCATGTCTGTGACCGCGCAGCAGTGTTCTGCCTGTTCAGTGCCCTGCTACATCAACATACCAGGGGACCAACAAAAAACAATATCTTTATGTGGTAAAGATGCAGCGTAGCCAAAGTTGGATACGGAGGAACTAAGGGGTGAGGGTGTATCAAAATTTTTATGTATAGCGGGTAAAGCACTAAGGGAGTCTGAGACAACCACAAAATGATGTCACAGGCATAGATGCAATACTGGTATGTGCTGTAAGGAGGCATACAAAAGTCAGCAGTTAAAAATATAGCCAAAGTAGTAAATGCTCTTGTACGACGCTGTTTGGAAACACTGCTGCGAATCCTACGTCGACAGAAGACTTAGAGCCATCTCAGCTGGTACACAGCAAATGGCGGTGAGAATGAGAGTGAAAGTGGTCAAGAGGAAAAAGTGAGCAGAAGCGACCGTAGACAGTTGGGTTTCGAGCAAGGGAGAGAAGAAAGACAGACTCGAACAGCTGTACTTCCCAGGGGGTTAAGGAAAAGTGAGATGCTACATGGTACTTAGAAAGGTGTTAATTGAAGAGAAGACAAGAGCGAAGTATGAAGGCGAAGAGAGAAGGACGGAGTAAACAGGGGCGGTGAAACAATTAAGAATGTCTACTATTATCAGTGACCATTTCTATAAATGGAAGGATTGCGAGATCATGAGAGCGTACATAGTAGCGAAGGCAATGGGCCATCACGGCGATCGGATGATTAGGCTTTGCATAGAGCTCTCGGGACAGATTGGATGAGCCGAAAAGCACAAGGCATAAAACGTAAATCTTGGGATGAATGGGGTTAAGGCTAGAGAGAGTAGCAGGAGATGCGCTGAATAGATCTGGTCACATAATCAATTTCGATAAATAAGGGTGGAATGTAGGCGAAGGAGGGTTCGACGATCAGCTCCCCATCGAAAGATGAGGCATGGATTTTAAGAAGGTTCAAGCCGGTTGTGACAAGTTGCTTAGAGAGGTAATGTGAGGTTTCCAGGATAACCTATGATCAAAAGAGGTGGCCAGAAATTTGACTGTTAGTTCAGGGATACGGGAGCCATAGAGGTAACAAAGGATGATCGGGATGGGGAACAGAGCGTATAGTGGAAGTAATTTGGTGGGTTTTAGTGCTGGAAAATTTAAACCAACGTGTGGTGGCCAATCTGGAAACACGGTCGGACTGCATGCTGGAGAGAAACTGCTATTAGGTAGACATTCAGCGCCTGCACAGGACATTAGCGAAGTACTCATGCATAGAGTGATGACAAATATTTGATGGAAGACTAGAGGCCAATATCATTAATAGCAAGGAGAAAAAGTGTTGTGCTTCAGAACACATCCCTGGGGGACACCTTCAGCTTGGATACAGTCGGGAGAGAGCACATTATTACCCGAACACGAAAATTGCCTGTCAGTTAAAGTCTTAAGGAAGGATGGTAGATTGCCTCGAAGGCCTAAGGAGTGGGCTTGAGGGCTCTAAATATTATACCTCAAGTTGTGCTCATATGCTTCTTCAAGGTCAAAAAAATATGGCTCAATAACTGAGTGGTATTCGCAAAAGCATTACGAACATACGTATCCAAGCGTTAGTAAGGGTCTATTGGATAGAACGTCCCTTACGAAAAGCCATATTGACGAGTGGAGAGGGGATGTTGTGTGTCTCTAAATTGCCACACTTAACGTTATTTTACTAGGCGTTCCATCACTTTGCAAACTGCATGGTAAGAGCAATGGGACGTAGTGGGAGGTTTCATGTCCCGTAGTGCCTGGTTGCGGGAAAGGAGAACAACGGCGGATTTCCACAGCTGTGGAAGAACTCCTTTGTGACCAAATAAGATTGTATAAAGGCATAATAGGACTGCAAGGCCTGACTGAAGTAATTGTTGTAAGCATACGAATATGAATGTTGTCGGGGCCCAGCTGCTTCATGATCGGCAAGTCTGAGAGCGTTTGCCTCCAGTTCTTGCTAGTGTAAAGTCACATTATACTGTCTTCTCTGAGAGAAGAAAATGTCCAAGGGTACTAACTCTCTGCAGACTTTGAAAGGAAAAAAAATGAGGGGATAGATGGAGTCCCTGGAGAAAATACGGACTAGATGATTGCAATTTCATGTCAACATCTAGTGGGTTTGCTATTATCACACCGGCACCGCAGAAACAGAACAGGCGCGGGTCAGGAGAATTTTCCATCAGTTTTCGTACTTTTTTTCCAGGACTGCACTCTTAGAGGAAGCAGAGGTGATGGTGGAGACATATCCGCCAGCAAGTGTGTTTGCGTCACCGGATGACACGGCGAGCGGATCGCACGCTTCTGCTTAAATCAAGATGTCTCTCTGTGGTTCTATTGTACGGTACCTGCCCCCATGCAGCACATTTCAAATGTACTGCAGAGCACAAGCAGGAGAACACCAAGGCACGCATTTCTGAGAATGCCTGCCGAAGTTTGGGGTATAGAATGAGGAAGCTGCGGTTTTAAAACAGAGGACGAGAAGAGGTGTAAAAGTCATCGATGGA